TGAATTATCTATCGGTGACTAACTTTCATCCAGATGCACTTACTTTAGAGCAGGTCAGCGATAGTTCTTTTATATTTAGTGGCTGGATTTCAACTTTCATATTTCCAATGGCTTATGAAATTTATCTTACGCTTCAACTTTGAATAAAATTCAGAAGTGTTCTATGACTTTTTTAATAAGACCATTCACCCAAGCTATGTAAATCCTGTTGACTTCCTGAAAGAATTAGTCATAATTACGATGTGCTGATGCTGATGATTGCTTAGAAGCAAATGAGTATTAAGATTTTCTGGGGATCACCAGGAAGTGAATAATAATTAATAGTTATTTGCTGATAATTACCTGGAGGTGAGGAGCAGCAATCAAAATTTTGCTGACGATACCTGGAGAGACAAATAATTCAGATTTTGTTTAGGATTACCTTGCTTGATAAAATAATAATAATAATAATAATTGTAATAATAATAATAAAGAGAGAGAGAGGCTTTCATTGCTTTATTCGATTTTTTTTCATACGTCATATAGTTACGTCAGGTTACGTCTTACCTTTCTTTCTGTATGGTGGATCCATACATTTTGCACCATATGCACCCAACATTAGTATAAAACCCTTCTCTCCTTCCCTCAGATCTTTTACAAATTAACTTGGTATACCTCGAACGAACGGGTGTTAGCAGAGAACGCTACTATATAGAACTCAGTCAAGTGAGGCACAAATAATGGTTAAACGGAACCAATATGCGTAGAATTAATATCTGCAAATTAAAATAATAACAGAAATAACATAATTATCATTATTATGATTATTATCATAATCATTATTTTTTAATCATTATTTTTATAACTATCTTTATTACTATCATTATTATTATTACCACTATTTGTACCAGTGATACTATTGTTTTTTATATTAATTATTTGTTACTACTACTAACGAAAAAAAAACAAGAATAATGATAAAAAACTGTTGAAATGACAAAACTTCCATATAACCATCCTCAACAGAACCTAAGGAAAGTACAGTGTAAAGCAGAAACATTGATTCCACATTCTGCCTAATGAAACTGTCCATTCTCATGCGTGCCACGTTTGAACTGCATTGATAATAATAATACAGCTAAAATAATAACATTGTTATGTAGCTACTGAAGCTGGTGCTAATTAAGATTTGAAGATAATAATAATATAGTGGATTTGGTGGTATGATGACAGTCTCTCTCGTTTAAAAGAAAAAAAAAAATCTAGGCAGCCTGGGATAATTATTAGACCCTATTATGAAGGCGCAGACTAAGGCGAAAAGTCTGCGCAAAATCTACGGGGTCCGCATGTCACATTTAACTACATATTAACAGCTGGTTCATGATGGAAAGAAATGCTACTGCGTCTCTTATAGGGCTGTTGATATAGAGACGAAAACATCACCTCTCTTCGGAGTTACTAAAACTATCATTAACTTGGATTTCACTATGCCTTTTAATTTAGTTAGCCAATGCCAACAATAGTATATATACATATACATTAGAATATATACATTAGAATAGGCCAGAGACAGGCTGATGCTCTATTCTTCGTTTTATTTGTATTCAGTGAGTGGCTTTCATTTTGAATGTCGTGAGTCAAGCAGAACTCTTTATTTTTTACAAACTTTCTTGGTACTTTATTTTTTATGAGCTTATGAACTTCAGTTTGCGCTTCAACTTTGAATAAAAGAATTCAGAAGTGTTCTGTGACTTTTTAGTAAGAACATTCCCCCAAAATTTGTTAATCCTGATGACTTCCTGAAAGAATTAGTCGTAATTACGATTAGCTGATGCTGATGATCACCTAGAAGTAATGATGATTAAGTTTTCCTGGTGACTACCAGGAAGTGAATGATAATTAAGATTTGCTGATGATTACCTGGAAGTGAAGAGCAGTAATTAAGATTCAGCTGACGCTACCCGGAGAGAAAAATAATTCAGATTTCGCTTAGGATTACCTTACCTGGAAAATAAAATTGCTAAAGGTTATGATTTTTTTTTTTTTTTTTTTTTAATCTTTCATACGCCATGTTCTAAAAACAAAAACAAAAAAAAACGTGCTCATCGTCCCAGCTCAGGTTAGGTCTTACCATTCTTTAGTATGTCTAATTCATACATGTTACACTAAATGCATTCGTATTTATACATTCGTATATAACCGATCCTACCTTTTACAGAGATCTCCTTCAGTTACCTCGTTCCCGGACGTATCAATCATACATCTCTCTCAAGTAAGGCACGAAAAATGAACGGAATCAGTGTGGATTTAAGATTTGTAAACTTGATGATAATGAAAATAAGATTAACGATTAAATATAGATATAACATTTATTGATTTCATATTTTCTTCCTATTCTAATTATCATCATACCTATCATTATTATCATATATATTATTATTTCTATGATCATTATTATTATTATTATTATTGTTATTATTGCTATTATCTCTATTATAATTAGTATTATTATCTTGTTTGTTGTTGACATTATTATTTCAATGATAATAATGATAAAAATAAAAGATTTCCATACCACTGTCCTCAACAGAATCTAAGAAAATTACAGTATAAAGTAGATTGATTCCCCATCCTGCCTTATGAAATTGTTTATTCTCATGCGTGCCTGGTTTAAACGACATTGTTAATGGTATAACAGCTAAATATAATAGTAATTACAGCGTCATGTACACATCGAAGCTGTTGCCAATTAACATTTGAAGAGCTCCAATAACTGACATAACTGATAGACCCTATTATGAAGGTGCAGACCTAGGCGAAAAGTCTGCGGTCTCTCTGGAACACAAAATCTACGGGGTTCAAACGCCACATTCAACTACTTATTAAAAGCTGGTTAGAAGAAGGAAGGAGCTGCTTCTGCGTCTCTTTCGGGGCTATTAATATGGAGGTGGGAGCATCACCTTTTTGGAGGTTTCCAAAACTTCCTAATAAGCAAGAATCAACACGGACTTGCTGTTTCACCATGCATTTTAATAAGTTAGTCACCATAAATATATCGTCATTGATTTTTTTTTTACTACAATCTGCCACTCTAATGTCTACAATAAGAGGTACTAATATCAAGTGGAGATCTGAACAGGAAAAAAACTAAAATATTTGATATGTATGGTCTTTATTTTTCGATTAGTTGTCTTTAAGTTTTTATTAATACTTTTAAAAGTTCCTTGAGGATTTGACTACCCCAAATTTCTTCCTTGGTAAAGATGTTTCACTCTTTCGAGCAGTAGTTGCTGCAGGTTGGAGACAGCTCAGACTACACTGTCCTCCTTTTCTGTGCGTGCTTGATTTAGGTATTTCTCCTGATATTAAAATAATACTGGAGCACGCTCCGATCCGCATACTAAGGTTGTGTGAATTACCCATTAATGATTAACTATTCATCCAGATACATTTACTTTAGAGTAGGTCAGCGATAGGCGAGCCGTTTTACTCGTATTTAGTGACTGGCTTTCATTTTAATTTTCGAGAAGATGGTTCTCACGGAAATATTTTTACATTTCAGTTTGGTTCTTTTCTATTTAATGGGTGGATTTCTATTTTCATACTTTTAATTGCTTTATGAAATTTAGAAATGTTCTGTAACTTTTTAATAGTAACATTCATTCAAAGATTGTTAATCCTGGAGTCTCCCTGGAAAAATTAATCGCAAATACGATTTGCAGATGATTTCCTGGCTAAACAGAATCAATATGGATTTAAGGTCTGTTAACTAAAGTAATAACAAAAATAATAAAACGTGCTTATCCTCCCCGTTCACGTTACGTCCTGCCATTTTTTCTGCATGGCTGATGCATAACTTTTACACCATATACACCCAACATTCGTATAAAACCGTTCCCTCCTTTCCATGGATTTTCTTCACCTTAACTTCTCCCTCAGTATACCTTGTTCCCGGTCGTATCAAACGGGTGTTGACAGAGAACGCTACTAGTATACATCTCTATCAAGTGAGGCATGAATAATGGCATAACGGAGGTATGGACTTAATTATTATTACCATTACCAAGTACCAAGCACCATTATCATTATCATTATTGTTATTATTATCATCATTATTTTTATTGTTGTTTATATTATTATTCATATGATACCACTACTAGTAATTATTTAAAAAAAAAAATGATGGCATAGCAAAGTTTTCAAGAAACTATCCACAACAGAATCTAAGAAAATCCCCTATCCTGCCTTATGGAACTGTCTATTCTCATGTTTGTCACGTTTGAACGAAATTGATGATGGTAATACAGTTGAAAATAGTAGTAATAACAGTCTTTTGTAGATAATGATTATGTTAATTGAGATTTGCAGAGCACCAGGAATGGTAATGTAGTGGACTTGGCGGCATGATGCCAGTCGTCCGTCTCTCTTAGTAAGAAAAAAGAGAAAAAAAAGAAAAGAAAAAAAGAAAAGAAAAAGAAAAAAAAAAAAAAAAAAAGAAAGAAAAGAAAAAAAAAATATATATATATATATACATATATATATATATATATATATATATATATATATATATATATATATATATATATATATATATATATATATTGGTTTCTCCCTATTATAAAGGCACAAACAAAAGCGAAAAGTTTACTGTACACCCGGAGCATAAATCTACGGGGTCCGCACTCCATATTTAACTACATGTTAACAGCTGGTTGACGAATGAAAGATATACTATTGTGTATTTTGTTTAGGATTAACTTACCTTGGAAATATGATCTTTTTTTTTCGAAATCATTCACACGTCACGTAGTAGAAAATATATATATATGTATTTATCGTCCTCCCCGCTCAGGTTACGTCCTACTTTCCTTTCTGTATGGCTGATTCATACATTTAACGCCATATGTACCCAGCATTCGTATAAAACCGATCCCTCCGTTTTCACAGAAATTTTACACAGATCTCCCTCAATGTATCTAATTACTGGACTTATCAAACGGGTATTGACAGAGAACGCAGCCATGACACATCTCTATCAAGTGAGGTACGAGTGATGGCTAAACGTAATCAATATAGAAACTACATTAAAACTTGAGGATAATGATAACGTTAAAAATCTGATTTTATTCCTATTCTAATTACTATCATACTATTCATTATATTAATTATTATCATGACAATTATTGCTTTTATGATCATTATTATCATTATCATTATTACTATCATTATTATTGTTATTATTCCAGTTATTATTATAATCATTATCATTACATAGTGATGATAATTATAATTATAATTATCATCACTATTATTATTATCATTATAATTAGTATTATCATTTAAATGAAACCCCTACTACTAAAGATAATAACAACATTAGTTATAAGAAAACTGTTGACATTTCAAAATATCCATACCACTATCCTCAACAGAATATAAGAAAATTGCAGTAGAAAGTAGAAACATTGATTCCCCATTCTGCCTTATGGAACTATTTTCATGCGTACCAGGTCTGAACGACATTGTTATTGGTAACACAGTTAAAATAATAGTAATAAAAACGTAAGGCTGTTCCGAATTAAGATTTGAAGAGCACCAATAATGGTAATGTAGTGGACTTAGGGGTATGATGTCAGTCGTTCGTATCATCAAAGAAAAAAAAAAGATCTTATTGGTGTCTCCCTCGGCCAACTGGCATAATCGTTATACACTTTTATGAAGGCAGACTAAGGAGAAAAGTCTGTGGGCCTACTGAAGTGCGAAATCTACTGTATCCGCACGCCACATTTAACTACGTATTGATTATGTAATGTTATGACCATGCATTAAATGTACCACAGCTTGCCCACGCCTGTGCAGTTAGCCAGGGTGGTAGATAAAGGACTAAACTAAACTGAAAAAAAAAGAAAGAAAAAAGAAGAAGCATGGATCACGACTGCATGCAACATTTTATAAGAAGAAATTATTGAATATATGATCTAAATGTGAGTTTGATAAAGACATTTGTATAAAAAAAAAAAAATGACAGCTGGTTGACGAAGGAAAGAGATACTAATGCGTCTCTTTCTGGGCTGTTGATATGGAGGCTTCACCTTTCTTTGGGGTTAACTAACTTCTTAATGAGCAAAGAATCATTAACTTTTGCTATAATCCAGCTATCTAGCACCCACAAAAGGAGGTATTAATATCAATGGAAGATTTGAACGGGAATAATACGAAAATATATGATATAAATGACTTTAATCCATTGGTGGCAAACTATATACATATACTTTAGAGTATATACATTAGAATAGGTCAGCGATAGGCTGATTCTCTGTTCCTTATTATATTTGTATCTCGTGAGTGGCTTTCAATTTAAATTTCGTGAGTCAAACGTACTTGATTATTAATTGTTCTTAATAGAATATGATTGTTAAGGAAATAATTTTACGTTCCTTTTAGTTCTTTTTTATTCAATGGGTGGATTTCTATTTTCATACTTTTTGTTAGCTTATGAACTTTAATTTACGCTTCAACTTTAAATAACATAATTCAGAAGTGTTGTGTGACTTTTTAAATAGAACAGTCACCCAAGATTTGTCAATCCTAATGACTTCCTGGAATAATTAGTTGTATTTACGATTTACTGATGCTAATGATCACCTAGAATTAATGATGATTAAGGTTTCCTGGTGATTACCAGGAAGTGAATGATAATTAAGATATGCTTATGTTTACTTGGAAGTGAATAGCAGTAATTAAGATTTAGCTCAAGCTACCTGGAGAAAAAAATATATGATTTAGTTTAGAATTATCTTACCTGGAAAATAAAGTTGCTAGAGACTATGAAATACCTTTTTTCGAAATATTTCATACGTCATGTAGTAAAAATAAAACGTGCTCATCGTCCCCGCTCAAGTTACGTTCTACCTTTCTTATGTATGGCTGATCCATACATTTTACACCATACTCACCCAACACTCGTATAAAAGCGTCCCCTCCTTTCCACACATTAACTTCTCTCTCAGTATACCTCGTTCCCGGACGTATATAACCAGTATTGACAGAACACTACTATTACACATGTCTACAAATAATGGCTAAAAGGAATCAATATGTAATTAAGACCAGTAAACTAAAGTAACAACAAAAATAACAATATCGAATATTGAATTGATAACTATAACAATTATTAATTGCATTACTGTATCCCTATTCTAATAATTATCATTATTATGATTATTATCATAAATTGTCCTATTTATCATGATTACTAATAATATCATCATTACTATTAATATCATCATAAGCATTATTGTTTTTTTTTTATATTCATTATTATCATTGTCATTATCATTGTAACTTTTATTATTGTCATTTCTATAATAATAGTAATAGTAGTAATCATCATCATCATCATTATCATCATCATCGTTATTGTAAATACAATAATAAAAATATATCAATAACAATGGTAATGATGATGATAATAATAGTGATGATGGCAATAATAATAATAATAATAATAATAATAATAATAATAATAATAATAATAATAATAATAATAATAATAATAATAATAATAATAATAATAATAATAATAATAATAATAATAATAATAATAATAATAATAATAATAATAATAATAATAATAATAATAATAATAATAATAATAATAATAATAATAATAATAATAATAATAATAATAATAATAATAATAATAATAATAATAATAATAATAATAATAATAATAATAATAATAATAATAATAATAATAATAATAATAATAATAATAATAATAATAATAATAATAATAATAATAATAATAATAATAATAATAATAATAATAATAATAATAATAATAATAATAATAATAATAATAATAATAATAATAATAATAATAATAATAATAATAATAATAATAATAATAATAATAATAATAATAATAATAATAATAATAATAATAATAATAATAATAATAATAATAATAATAATAATAATAATAATAATAATAATAACAAAAACAAAAACGATAACGATAATGATAATGATAATGATTGACAATGATAATGATAATGATAATGATGATAATAAAAATAATGGTAAGTTTAATAGTAGTAATGATAATAATAAGAAGAATATAGACAATAACAATAATAACAAAAACATCGCCCACAATAACAACAACAACAATAACATTAATGATAGTGATAATAATGACAATAATGATAATAATAACATTGATGGTGATAATAGTCACAATGATAATTATAACAATATTGACAATATTTATGATGGCAATAGTCATATCATTAATAATAATAAGGATAATTCTTACTATTTTTTCATTACCAATACTATTAATATCATCATTACTATTAATATCATCATAAGCATTATTGTTTTTATTACTATTATCATTACTATTATTATCATCATTATTATTATCATTATTTTTATCATCATCATTGTTATCATTATTTTTATTATCATTATTTTTATCATCATCATTGTTATCATTATTGTTATCATCGTCGTCATTATCAGTATCTTTATCATCATCATTGTTATCATCATTATTTATTACCATTATTGTTAATATTATTTTTAATATCATTATTATTGTTTTCATTATGATAAGCATTATTGTTTTTATTACTATTATCATTACTATTAATATCATCATAAGCATTATTGTTTTTATTACTATTATCATTACTATTATTATCATCATTATTATTATCATTATTTTTATTATCATTATTATTGTTTTCATTATGATAAGCATTATTGTTTTTATTACTATTATCATTACTATTATTATCATCATTATTATTATCATTATTGTTATCATTATTTTTATCATCATCATTGTTATCATTATTTTTATCATCATCATTGTTATCATTATTTTTATCATCATCATTGTTATCATTATTTTTATCATCATCATTGTTATCATTATTTTTATTATCATTATTATTGTTTTCATTATGATAAGCATTATTGTTTTTATTACTATTATCATTACTATTATTATCATCATTATTATTATCATTATTTTTATCATCATCATTGTTATCATTATTTTTATTATCATTATTGTTATCATTATTTTTGTCATCATTATTGTTATCATTATTTTTATAATCATTATTGTTATCATTATTTTTATCATCATCATTGTTATCATAATTTTTATCATCATCATTGTTATCATTATTTTTATTATCATTATTATTGTTTTCATTATGATAAGCATTATTGTTTTTATTACTATTATCATTACTATTATTATCATCATTATTATTATCATTATTTTTATTATCATTATTATTGTTTTCATTATGATAAGCATTATTGTTTTTATTACTATTATCATTACTATTATTATCATCATTATTATTATCATTATTTTTATTATCATTATTATTGTTTTCATTATGATAAGCATTATTGTTTTTATTACTATTATCATTACTATTATTATCATCATTATTATTATCATTATTTTTATCATCATCATTGTTATCATAATTTTTATCATCATCATGGTTATCATTATTTTTATTATCATTATTATTGTTTTCATTATGATAAGCATTATTGTTTTTATTACTATTATCATTACTATTATTATCATCATTATTATTATCATTATTTTTATCATCATCATTGTTATCATTATTTTTATTATCATTATTGTTATCATTATTTTTATCATCATTATTGTTATCATTATTTTTATTATCATTATTGTTATCATTATTTTTAATATCATTATTATTGTTTTCATTATGATAAGCATTATTGTTTTTATTACTATTATCATTACTATTATTATCATCATTATTATTATCATTATTTTTATTATCATTATTATTGTTTTCATTATGATAAGCATTATTGTTTTTATTACTATTATCATTACTATTATTATCATCATTATTATTATCATTATTTTTATTATCATTATTTTTATCATCATCATGGTTATCATTATTTTTATTATCATTATTATTGTTTTCATTATGATAAGCATTATTGTTTTTATTACTATTA